CTGAAAACGTGAAATTCCTGTTTGCGATTCAGAGCCTGGAACCTTGCTCACCGCCACTGACAGGAAGCGTACTGAGCGTGTGCGTAGTTTACACGTCGACGGAGACGTCTGTCTTCTGTTTACAAAAGTTTGTGTTTTCAGGTATACGAAAGGTCGTTGTTATGTAAACAAAGAGTCAACAAGAGGCGAGCGTTTACGGCCTTTGTTTGCACGGAGATGGTAGAGATGGCGTGCAGACAGTCTATGGTCGTACAGCGATCACAGGGAATAAAGGTCACCACCCCCTCCTACTGGCCCCTCCCACTGGCCCCTCCCACTGGTTATATCCTGCTGTGTTCTCACATCAGTTCACTCTGACTTCCTGCAGAATAAATACGAGGAGGCTGGAGGAGAAACTCTGAGTGAAGAGAGAAACATTCAGATGTTAGCTTCGGAGCAATCAGCTTGTTGTTTCTCACCGTGTTGCCAGGGGACTGATTTGAGTGTTACACAGTCTCTGATAGAAATGCTAACATGCTAATGTTCAGCGTGTCGACTTCAATGAAGAAACCTTTAAGGTCAAACGCTTTAACCATCTGTTGTGAAGAGAAGAGAATGAAACAGCGTTCACACATTCAGCTCACCATGAAAACTTCTTCTACACGTGTCAATGGCAACAATCTGTAACTCCTCCCCCTTCAGTCAACTCTGTCAGCGGCGCTCGTTCACACACACACAGAGAGAGAGAGAGAGAGAGACTTCTGCTGCAGATCCACGGAGATATGAGTCATGTCTCGCTCTCCTGCTAAATACTTTAAACACACACACCTCAGGAGACACCCCCCCCCTCCCCGCTCAGCTGGAAGAACCCGATGAGTTTTATCTACATTTGTGCAGCTAAAAGTCATTTTCTGTTTCTAGAAATCCAAAAATGGAGGATTAAATTAAGTCCTGCAGAAGTGAAGTATGAATGTGTGTAATATGATGAAAGGACCAGGATGTTAGATAGATAGTTTATTGATCCCGAGGGAAATTCAAATGATCCAGTAGCAGGTTACAAAGACGTACATGACATGAAACATTTAAACCATATTTAAAACACAAAACTGACGTCTCCCCCCCCCATACATAAATATTAACCTGAAAAAAGATTTAAAGAATACCTCCAGATGAACCAAACTTAAACTGTGCAATTAAAAATAGATTTATACAAGAAATGTACATAACCTGTGCAGAGATAAAAATATATGTGACATTTAAAGAAAAATCTGTAATTAGACTGTTAATTGTTGTCCTGTTAGAGGAACGTCTGTTAGAGGAACGTCTGTTAGAGGAACGTCTGTTAGTGGAACGTCTGTTAGACGTCTGTTAGAGGAACGTCTGTTAGAGGAACGTCTGTTAGTGGAACGTCTGTTAGAGGAACGTCTGTTAGTGGAACGTCTGTTAGAGGAACGTCTGTTAGTGGAACGTCTGTTAGAGGAACGTCTGTTAGAGGAACGTCTGTTAGAGGAACGTCTGTTAGAGGAACGTCTGTTAGAGGAACGTCTGTTAGTGGAACGTCTGTTAGAGGAACGTCTGTTAGTGGAACGTCTGTTAGTGGAACGTCTGTTAGTGGAACGTCTGTTAGAGGAACGTCTGTTAGAGGAACGTCTGTTAGGAACGTCTGTTAGAGGAACGTCTGTTAGAGGAACGTCTGTTAGAGGAACGTCTGTTAGTGGAACGTCTGTTAGAGGAACGTCTGTTAGAGGAACGTCTGTTAGTGGAACGTCTGTTAGTGGAACGTCTGTTAGAGGAACGTCTGTTAGAGGAACGTCTGTTAGTGGAACGTCTGTTAGAGGAACGTCTGTTAGAGGAACGTCTGTTAGTGGAACGTCTGTTAGTGGAACGTCTGTTAGTGGAACGTCTGTTAGTGGAACGTCTGTTAGAGGAACGTCTGTTAGTGGAACGTCTGTTAGAGGAACGTCTGTTAGAGGAACGTCTGCGTTTGTTGTTACGTTGGAGAGCTGCAGAAGTCAGTGACGGTAAAAGAAGATTCAGGTCGTCTTGTTTCATGATGATGATGCTGTCTGACTCGTTTTCCACCCCAGTGACGTGTGTGTGTGTGTGTGTGTGTGTGTGTGTGTGTGTGTGTGTGTGTGTGTGTGTGTGTGTGTGTGTGTGTGTGTGTGTGTGTGTGTGTGTGTGTGTGTGTGTGTTGGTGTGGTGTGTGTGTGTGTGTGTGTGTGTGTGTGTGTGTGTGTGTGTGTGTGTGTGTGTGTGTGTGTGTGTGGTGTGTGTGTGTGTGTGTGTGTGTGTGGTGTGTGTGTGTGTGTGTGTGTGTGGTGTGTGTGTGTGTGTGTGTGTAGGTGGGTGTGTCTGTTTCACAGGGAGTGCCTCCCTCGGGTTACTTCAAGTCAAACACACCAGATTCTTTCCCACAGCTACCTGCTTTCTGTGTGTGTGTGTGTGTGTGTGTGTGTGTGTGTGTAGCAGGTCAGTGACCCGCCTGAACTCGATGCACAGATAAGGATTTTCTTTGTTGGGTCCCAGCAGGTTTTTAGTTCAGAACCACGTTGAGGAAACCGAGTGATTTTTTTCAGGATCAAAGTAAAAAAGAAAACTTAATAAATATTTCGACACGTCTTTGTTTTCCTGAAAAGTAAAAATGTTTTTTTATGTTTTTCAGGTTGGTGGTGAATCGACCAATCACCTGCATCCTGTGTGACCTCATTGATCCGTCCTCAGCAGCAGAACATCTGTCATCGATCGCTCATCCTGGATTATTGAACCTGATTGGACCAAAGATCAACGAGGCGATTAAAAACCTGCATCTTCTGATTGAGCTGATTTGAATTAGTCTGCAGATTCGTTACAAAGGCCGTGATTAATCGGACAAAACGAGAGACTCTCTCTGATTGGTCCGTGGGTCATTGAAGGAAAAAAAAGAGGCAACCAATGGCAGCGTCAGAACTGATCCAAGGCGATGACGATGACAACCGTCCTCATTTGGAAGTCGCAACAGTGAGTCCCCCCACACCCCCCCGTCCTCCGAGGCTTTCCAACGGTAACCCGCCTCGCCACGCCTCCTTGCCACCTCCGCCCACAGAGACCCACGAAGGCAAGAAAGAGGAATGCAGCAAACTGAGCGGCCTGTTCCAGCAGAACCAGCTGATCCACTCGCTGAGCAGGGGACTCAGGAAACACTGCGACTACACCAAGATCAGCGTGCCCGAAGAACGAGCCGACCGCCTCCCCTCCGAGTGGTGGAAGACGGGCGTGGCCTTCCTCTACGCCTTGTTCAACCTGGTCTTCACCACCGTCATCATCACCGTCGTTCATGAGAGGGTGCCGGACAAGTCGGTGAGCCCGCCACTGCCAGACAAGTTCTTTGACTATGTGGACCGGGTGCCCTGGGCGTTCACCGTCACCGAGGTCAACGGGCTGATCCTCAGCGGACTGTGGCTCGTCCAGTGGCTCTTCCTCAAACACAAGTACGACCACGTAGAAGTGTTATCGCCTCAGGGTGTTTCTGGGATGGTTGGAGGTCAGAGGTCAGAGTTGAACGGTCGGTTCTTGTATCAATGAATGTAGCTATTAACGTAAAGTCGGTCTATAAAGAACAAACCATATGACGGATTTTTGTGGGCCAACCCTGAAGTAGCATCGCCATTGCGTCTAACGAGAACGAGTTATCTGATTAGGTCATCCTAAAAAGACCTGATGTCTTCTAAAGGGTTAATCCAATCGGATGGTTTTGATCCAGGTGAAGTACTCGTGAACACCCGGGGGCCAGGTCTAGCCATGTGTTTTGTAAAGGGGGGAGATCTAGACTCACGACTCCAGGGGGATTAGAGATTAAATGTCAGAACTTTTGTCTGGCTCTGTGACGAGTGAAGAAGACAAGTGGAGGCGCTGGTGACCGTGTGGTTAGTTTGTGACCCTGTGTACGGAGACTGATGTCCTTAAAGTCTTTATATGTGATTTTTTGATCCAGCAGATGTCGCCCTTGAGCACCAGCATGAAACCAAAACAACTTGCACTGCATTGTTGTGTTAGCATGCTAATGCTAGTGATTTTTATTATGCTGGTATCTTCACACTGCATGTAAATTTACCTGAAATGAGCGTGATCTAGAAACACAGTTAAGCAGTGAGTACAGTATGTTATTCTTCTTTTCTCTAGTCCCTCAATTAAACAACTTTTATACACGAGGGGAGGAGTCAGCCGGCCGTCCCTGGCGATGTAAACAAAGTGAAGATAGGACTCTGAAAACATCACAGACAGTGGGACTCGGGTGTTACACCCATTGTAGACAGTCATGACTCACAGAGTTATTTTCAGAGGAGATACTTGATTTCTACATTTAAGTGTGAAAAATCACATATGAAGACTTTAAAGTGGGATGAGTCCTTTAATTTCCGTGGTGTCTGATTAACCTCGTCTCTCTGCAGGTCTATAATTCTTCGTCGCTGTTTCTTCCTGATCGGGACTCTCTACATGTATCGCTGCGTCACCATGTACATCACCACCCTGCCTGTGCCGGGGAAACACATGGTGTGCGCTCCCAAGGTAGGAATAGCCTCTTACACACTCTTCATTCCATTAACACTTCATCATCATCGTCGGTAAATTTGCTCATGTGTGCTCGTCTCTGCAGCTCTACAACGACTCGACAGGGAAAATCTGGAGGATTCTACAGCTGATTTCAGGAGGAGGTAACAAAAACACTCAAAGTAACACAACTTAAGCATCCGTCGTTGAAAATACTTTTATAATATACAAAATATAGAATAATGTAAACAGTGTCAGTGTGTAAAGTGTCCAGGGTGTCAAAGTGCAATGTGCAGATTGGAATGTGTGGTGTGTGTGCATCATGTAGTCACAGTTCTGTTTTGTTTAGTTCTGTTTATGTTTATGAACATCTTTTATTTTCTTGTTTGTTGTGTCCAGGTTTGTCTCTTACCGGCTCTCACCTGATGTGTGGTGACTTCCTGTACAGCGGCCACACCGTCATGTGTACGCTGTCCTACCTCTTCATCAAAGAGTGTGAGTATACACACTTTGATCTCTTTTAAAACTGATTCAAATGAATCAATTACATTTTCTCCATCTTTGTTGTAGTTTGGAAATATGTCGACAATGTTGACACTTTTATGAACGTATGGAAGGTTTGATTTAAGATTAAGCACCTAATGTTAAAAAAAGAAAGAGAAGGTAATATAAAAGATAAACTAACCGTGTGTTATAATTTGTGTGTGAACACTTCCTGTCATGAGATAACAGTTATTCCAAAGTCAGGTCAATTTATTGTCAGTTTCCTGCTATGGCGTGCTGTAACGTCTTTTACCTGTACATGTTGTGATGTCACAGACTCCCCACGCTGGATGTGGTGGTATCATTGGCTCTGCTGGCTGCTCAGCGCCTCTGGAGTCCTCTGCATCCTGATTGGTCACGAGCACTACAGCATCGACGTGTTGATCGGATACTTCGCCACCACCAGGACCTTCTGGTGGTACCACACTATGGCCAATACACATGTATGTACACACACACACACACACACACACACACACACATTCCTGAAATACCTGCCTAATAAGGACCACTGATCCCTTTGATCCCACTGTGTCCCCATAGTCCAGACACTGCCCCCTACTGGCAGTATTAAATATTCTTGTAGGCATTTGCACAAAAACATTAAAAAGTGAACATGAGAGAAACACCTTTATAACATGCATAACAAGTACATCTCATATTGCCACTAGGGGGCAGTGTGAGGTCACAGTTTGCACACTTACATTATAAGGACCGTTGTTTCTTTTCGGGGATGCAATGCAAGTCTCCACAACATACCCAATTCTTCCACATTAACCAGCAGTATCTTTGATCTCGCTTGTTCTACTCGTTCTGATCGTTGACTGATTTGATTCTCTGATTGTTTCTTGACATGAACTCTTGTGTACTTGTCTGCTCAGGCGCTTCGTCAAGCTTCAAACAACTACTTGTCGCAGACCTGGTGGAACCCGATCTTTAACTTTCTTGAGAGGAACGTTCAGACGCCAGTTCCCATCGTGTTCTCGTGGCCTGTTAACCTGCCGTCCTCCTGCAGACAGCGATACAAGATAGTGGAGGGGGGCAGGGACGAGTGAGCAGCGGGACACCTGACTGCTGTTTGAACTTTAACAGGTTCTGTCTTCTTACTGAGGACAAACAGAGGAGAACAAAGGATGAATCGTTTACAGTGCATCATCACCTGTCATTTATAAATCATATAATAACCTACATAGTGACATTGCTGTAAGACTTCTACTTCAGTCTGAAGAGTTACCTGTGAGACGTCACAGGAACATCACTACACGTTGAAATAACTGTTGAGTTAAAGCCAAACCTTCGAATACAAGTTTCACTTCACTACAAGATGTTACACGCCAACCAGCTGCCAAATGATCTGAAAACCACATATTTCTCTGTAATACAAGTTGTTTTATAAGCATTTAAAATGAACATCAACATCAAACCATTTCTCTCTGAGCGATGGAGTGATACTTTGTGCTTTTAAGTTTGATACAGCTAACAAAGTAAAACATAAAAAACTTTTCAAAATACCATTCAGTCTAAGAAATAAAATGCAGCGTATTCAAACAAAAAACATGAGACTACAATTTAAAGGAGCAATATGTAACTCTGACACCTAGTGTTTAAAAATGGGTACTGCGGTCCAAATTCAATCACAGCTGTCAATCATGGCATTGTATACCTATTAAGAGCATCATAAAACTCGAAAAGCAACCTTTATTTTCATTTTCAAGTTTGACCCATGTCCCATTTGTTTTCACTGAGAAGGCGGAGCTTATGACCTACACTGCAGCCAGTCAGAAGGGGGGGCGCCAAATGTTTTGGCTTCACTGTCCAAGAATGGTTCTATCGTCCGTTTTCTCATACAGTCTATGGCATTCAGTGTATTTCTTTAGTGAGTAAAGATTACTAACTTCAGAGAAATATGTTAAGCAACATCTATTAAAGGTAAAAGAGAAAATCGTGTAATTATTCATAGAGAAGCTAGAGGGTGAGGACCAAAGCTACCATGCTAGCTACTTATCATTCTCAGGGCTAACTTTTCAGAGTCTATCGTACTGAATTGACGCTGTTAGCCAAATGCTAACCACACAAAAAAAATTTGAATGTACCACAGAGAAAACTGACTAAATGTTTACGTATTGAGATTATTAAAAGAGATTGTGGTTTGTCAGCTAACCAGCTAGCTAGATAGCTTCTACTAGCTAAACTACAGCATCATCACATTCCAAGTGCTAACTCAATTTGGTTCCACTTCAGTGTGAAAAGTCACAAGTGTATTTAATGACTGTTGTTGTACATGTCTTCCTAAACTTGATTATTTTTGTTTTAAGTTATATTTTCAGATGTGTAAAGTTCGGACACACTGAGCTTCAGTGTCCTGTTTTTATGTTTTCTATGTTCTTTTTGTACTTTTTGTAAATTGAAACAATAACTTGAAAAGTTCCTTAAACTGCTGCTGCTGAAAGTATGATTAATGAAGACGTTTTTTCTGTAAAGCTTCAGTTACTCGTATTCAAGTGTTACCTGATGTTTCATGTTGTCAGAGTTTATTTTGTTTGAAATGATAAGATGATTAGTCTGATAATAGAAGATTCATTTTTAGTCAAGAAGTGGTATTTATTAAAGATGTGTTGTAAGTAAAACAAACTGTAGTTTTTGTGAAATACTTTTATTGAGCAAACATTTACACAATCATACTGGGGCTGTCAAACGATTACATTTTTTAATCACTAAATTTCAATAGGGAGCCAGGGAATAAAAATGTCCAACAAAATTAACTTAAAAATGAGCTGCAAAACACATTTTTGGTGTTATTTACTTTTTAAACCAGTGTGAACAAAAACTCAAGCTACACAGTTTTTCAAATAAACTGCACATAAATCAACAGACAGAATTTAGAAAAACATTAAAAACCTGCTGTGATTTTAAACCAAATGACAGATCAGCAGCAACCTCACAACATTTCACTGGATAAAAACAACAACAGAGAGAGTGATTGTGTGTGTGCTCTGCAAGTGGTATCTTCAGGAGTCTCATCCAGCACTCAGGGTCCAGCTGCAGGAAAAACATCAGATCGTATTATTGTCAGCTCAAAGGGACTTTAAACACAAATATATGCACAAACCGACACATCAATACTCGCACACTCAGATGTCAGAGAATGTGTTTGTGCAGGATATGTAGGCACTACATCACACAGTAACAAGGAGCGCTGGTATATGAAATAATATTCTACTTTTATGTCTGGTTATTTAAAAGACCCATCCCACATGGAATGGCTCAGACACATTCACTGAGAATCAATAAAATGTTTTCATTCAGCCAATATCACAACAGCACCATTAACATGAACCCATCCCCCATTTCCAATATCAGTTAGCATCAAGCTCGAGCTACGATTAAAGATTGAAATTTGTGACAGTAGCATTGTGGAAGTAGAAGTACAAGAAGTTTTAAATATCTGTTTGAATATTTGAATATATAGTGATTTCCTATACATGCCAAAGTAGTAGTAATAATAAACTCGACCTGGTGCAGCTTCCTGTTTGCTGTTTGTTCTGCTTTCTCTTCCTCTTACCCTGAAAATAAAAGACAAAGAAGAAGCTTAAGTTCTATGAAACACACACAGTTAGTTAGACCACAGTGGTTGTACAGTACATACATAGTTATCTCTGGCGGACCATCCAGGGTACAGCTGCATGTGGAGCAGTCTCTCCTTTTGGGCCAGTTCGTAGTATTTGGATTGTTCAGAGCGGGACAGAGCATGCCACTGAAAGAGAGAGACAAAAAAAAGGGAAACAATGAGGCTCAATAAACCCTGAAATATTTCAAATTTGACATCATTGTGATTCGCCCTGATGACATCACTATGGCGTTTTCATTGCTCTCACCCTGTGTCCCAGGATGCGGTTGATGGCAGCACTCTCTCTCTCCCGTCCCTCCTGCAGGACTTTGTGTCTCATCTCCTTCATGTAGAGCATGAAGGCGTTCAGGGGCTTCTTCACCAGCTGCGTGCTGCCAAGGGCGAGAGACATATGCAATATATGAAATAAGAGAGAGAGAGAGAGAGAGAGAGGTTATCCTTCAAAATTTCTAAAACTCCATAGGAGTTAATAAATGTTGACTGTTATGCAGATGATACTCAGCTGTACTGATCAGTAAATACTGATCAGAGTCCGTTCACTAAACTTAACAAGTTAAAGTTCTTAATGACAGAAACTTGGCACACTCACTTGTTGATGTTGTTACCACGGTAACTGGGGTGTGTCCTGGAGTGGGCGTCGGCCTGTTTTGCAGCAGGTGCACCGATTGGCTGGCTGTACGGGGGAGAAGGAGGGAAGTGTTTGTCACTGTAGAGGAGGAGAGGGATGAGAGGATGGATGGACGACTGTAAAGAAGGGAGAGAGAGATTATATATATTATGGGATATCATGGTTACTTTTATCAAACTGAAGTCAGTCAGGATGAACAGAATTTTAAATGTTGCTTTTTATATGTCTTTTATCAAAGGTGTTGTACCAACATTTAGCCGTTGTAATGGTACATAAAACACTAACAGAGACATCAGCTCGTAGCTTTATCTGGTCTCTCAGCTGTTTCTCCGACTGTCGGTTGTTGAAAGGATAACAACAAACTGAGAAGAGCGCAAAATAACACCCCAGTAAGGCCAACACCACACAGACACACACACACACACACACACACACACACACACACACACACACACACACACACACACACACACACACACACACACACACACACACACACACACACACACACACACACACACACAGCCTGGAGGTGCTGCACTCCACAGTCTCTGGGTCACATTTAACACTGATTGTGTTAGAAGGGGAACATATTGGCTTAAAGGGATACTTACACACACACACACACACACACACACACACACACACACACACACACACACTAACACACTTACAGCTGTAAGGGTGTGTGACGTGTTGCTCTGCCCCCTGCTGGTCATATTTAGGTACTGTTGCTGAGGTGGACACCAGTCAATCATATGAAGTTTACCTGAGCGGGAGATAATCAGAAAAACGATAAGTGAAGAAGTAATAAAAATGTATTTTTATTAAATTTTTTGTCACCCACCAAAAGTGGAGCCTGCAGAGTTCACATTCAGTCCACTCATCGGGCTGATCTCCTGAAAACAGACACAACAATCGATATCAAATGAATCTGCAGTCAATGTTGTTGGAGATTAACCGATTCAAAAATGTTTAAGACACTGAAGAATTATTAGCTGACTTATTTATCAAGATGAATACTGGCAAGCAGTTAAATAATAATAATAACAACAACAGGTTGTAGAGTCCTGCATAGGGTTATAGTCAAGACCACACTAACCGAGACCAGAGTGCTCTGAGACTAAGACAAAACCAAGACCAAGTCAAGACCAAGCCAAAGACCAAGACCGAGGGAGGGCGAGACTGAGACCTTAAATATCACAGAAAAATCATCATCTTGTGTTTAGGGGGCATGTCACTCACTGAGACCGTAACACCTGGAAGGTTGCAGCCGTAACAGGGGGATACAAATCAAACTACAGATTAATTGAAGTTATTTGTTGTTTTAGAAAGAGGCGTTTTCCTTCTAATCACAGTGGTGGTCTGGACCGGTCTTGATTTAAAATCCAGAGTCCGCTCTGTCTGAGACCAAAACAAGGCCGAGTAAAAATGCTTTCGATTCGAAGATGAGAAGAGACCTACAAAAAGTGGTCTCCAGACCAAGACACAAAAGGCATTTTAACAAAGAAATAATAATAATAAATACTCACCCCTCTGCCGAACATCTGCTCCATCTGTTGTTGACTTCGTTCTTGTTTTAAGTTATTTTACTAAACATTCAAATATTTTTATCAAAAGAACAGTTTGAATATTTCACATCTACTAAACACGAGGCAGACAGAGCTGACTGTCAGACTCCACTGACTGGTGAAGTTTAATCCTGTATGTGACGTTTATAATGCCCCCCCCCCCGACACACTCACACACTCAAACACCACACACACACTGCCTCAGGTTATTCCACTGTTGTGAGTTCTTTCTCAGTTTTTGGAATTTACTCAAAGCTAAAATTAATAAAATCCTCATAATCGCATTAATTCCTCTTTGAAGCCACTTGAGGGCAGCAAACACAAATTAAAAAACTTTACATATTTGTAGGATTCTTGTCCTTAAAGTCCCTGTTTGCTGAAATGTCAGTAAAGAGCTTCATTATTTCACATCTTACAGTAACAGATGTCAAAGGTCATCTCATTAACAGTGTCAGTAATTACTAGTGGAGTTCCTCAGGGCTCTATTATCGGTCCTCTTTAATTTTTAATTTATTATTAAACTCATTTGTCAGTGAAATATCCAATCTGCTTTTGTGTATCAACTTGAACACAAATAAAACAAAGTATGCTCAAAACGGATTAAAACTGACACTGGAAACAAAAACTGAAAACGTAATAAAAAATTGAAACATTTGTCAAATTCAAGGTTATTTTAGCCTTGGTGCTAATATCCCATGTCTGTATTTAAATCTACTTCATTAAGCACTATGCTCTGTTCCTAAACATCAGCATCTCGTTTTGTACCCTACAAACTGTTTCTGTGTCAGATCGTTAATGCGATAAAATGAAACCAATCAACTGCTGAAATCTGATTCAAGAATGTACAAAAATTCATAGCTAAACATTTTTCCTCGCTTTGATTCAAACGTTTCTGACAGCGGCTGAGCGAGACCATCCTGAGGGATCCTTGAAACACCCGAGGAGGGAGTGTGTGTGTGTGTGTGTGTGGGGGGGGGGCAGAGAAGAAGAGGTCAAAGATCAGAGAGCATACAGGGGAGGAAGACTGAGTGTGAAATACAGAGCCAAGTTACATTCACACAAAATAAATAAATAGTAAATAAATAAGCGCACTCTGCAATTTCTTTTAAAAGTTCATCTTTAATTTAGGGAATTCATTGAATAAGATCAGTCATAAAACATTTTGAAAGTCAGCTAAAAGCAATGTGATTCAGTCCATGTGGGTGTAAGAAGGCTGTTCTGTAAGGTTAGAGCACTATGGACGCATTCTGTCAGAGCACCTTAAACAAACTAACCCTCGTTTGGGCCCTAAGCCTCCTTGGGTCCCTTGAAAGGCGTTAATCCATCAATTATTTTTATTACTGACAAGGAAAATAGCCAATCATAGTCGATGGTTTTGGGGTGGCCGACTTGATTTTGTGGGGATGGGTGGCCCTGGACACCCCTTGGCTCCGCCCCTGGTTTAGGAAATGTGGCGATGAGATAATGAGTCTAAAAAATGTTTGAAGTAATGAGGGAGGGAACTATTAATAAAGCCTTTTTTGAATCACTAAAATAAACTGTATTAGAGACTCCAGCAGAGTAGGTGGCAGTAATGCTCTTTAAACGCTGTTTGCTACTCTCCATTAAAAAGAAGAAGAAGAAGAAGAAGAAACATGGAGGGAGTTAACGCGATGTTTGTTTCCCGGGAGAATTATGAGAACTACGAGCTGTCCAAATCCGACATACTGAGAGGAATCGTTACCGAGAAACTGACGACGGCAGCGCGGGAAATCTTCGCGGTTGTGGAGAGAACCGTATCCGGTTACGAGGAGGAGGCGGCGGGTCTGAGGCAGGAGATCGACCGGCAGAGGATCCAGCTGGAGGCTATCCTGCAGCCTCGAGTGTCTCTGTGTCGGATAGGTGGGGAAGTGACGCTGTGCACCAAACCCCCTTTAAAAAACTCTACATTTAACACATTTATCTTCTGGTTTCTGCTCAGATATACTGATGAGACATAAAATCACCTTCAGGTCTCCTCATGTTGACTTTACTTGTGAGGTTTTGAGGGACTGACGGTCTAAAGCATCTGAACTTTATTACTAAAGAACCATCAATAAGATACTTAAAGGTCTTTACAGAGATACAAACATTAAGAGGGATAAAGGAAATAAAGGGGTTAAGCAATAATAGTTTTTTTTTAATTATCCCTGTCAGCATTAACAGTTCATCACATTAATCTCCTGTTTGTCCCTTCAGGCTCTCCGTAGATACTCGTCCTCAGTGTCTCCCTGTAGTCTCACTGCTGCATCTCTGAATGTCTCATTTCACTTTAACAAACTCTCACACAGTAATATCCACCTGATGACATCACACACTGACCTGATGACATCACACACTGACCTTATGACATCACACACTGACCTGATGACATCACACACTGACCTGATGACATCACACACTGACCTTATGACATCACACACTGACCTTATGATGTCACACATTGACCCTATGACATCACACTGACCTGATGACATCACACATTGACACTATGACATCACACATTGACCTTATGCTGTCACACACTGACCTTATGACATCACACATTGACCTTATGATGTCACACATTGACCTGATGACATCACACACTGACCTTATGATGTCACACATTGACCCTATGACATCACACATTGACCTTATGACATCACACATTGACACTATGACATCACACATTGACCTTATGATGTCACACATTGACCCTATGACATCACACATTGACCTTATGACATCACACATTGACACTATGATATCACACATTGACCTTATGATGTCACACACTGACCTTATGACATCACACATTGACCCTATGACATCACACATTGACCTTATGATGTCACACATTGACCCTATGACATCACACATTGACCCTATGACATCACGCACTGACCTTATGACATCACACATTGACCTTATGACATCACACATTGACCTCATGACATCACACATTGACCTTACGACATCACACATTGACCTCACGACATCACACGTTGACCTCATGACATCACACGTTGACCTCACGACATCACATGTTGACCTCATGACATCACACGTTGACCTCACGACATCACATGTTGACCTCATGACATCACACGTTGACCTCAAGACATCACACGTTGACCTCATGACATCACACGTTGACCTCACGACATCACACGTTGACCTCAAGACATCACATGTTGACCTCATGACATCACACGTTGACCTCAAGACATCACACGTTG